ATAGAATTAAGTACCTTTCGGTTAGCCCAATTCGAAGTTAATGAAGATCCGGTATGGACTACGGATTTAGGGGGGATACCAGTTCGATGGTTTCCAGCAAGGTGGACTCTCAAAGAAAGAAAACAACGTGAGAAGTTCCAAGCTACGATTCACAAGATACCAGATTCTATGACTCTAGCAGCCTTATGGACCGACCGTCGCCCACATTCTTTCCTTTCTGCGATAAAAGGATTGAAAGGTTTCAAAATTGTACAAACAGCGAGAGGGGAACGCAAGTTACTTGGTTTTTTTGAAAGGTGGGTTGATATGCGCGCAGCATTAGAAAATCAGGTAATTTGGGAAAATTATAATCTGTCATGGAATCGGCACGCTCCTCCGACGCAACCAACAAGGTCACATGGCGGTGACGCCAATAAGAACCGTAATCGAACTTCACGAAGTCAGAAGACTGAGAAAACTCAATCGAATTCTAAGAATTCTAAGAAGAAACCAGAAGTGACAACATCCAAGAAGCCTGAAGAGCAAATGAAAAAGAAGGACAAGTCCCGTAGTAAATCAAAAAATAAAGTTTTAGCGGAAATTTTAGATTTGCTGCGTAAATTAGTTTAATATTAATTTAGGTTTTAGAATTTATTTTACTTTTAATTTTCTTATTTTTTCTAGCTTGTTAGGTGGTAATTCATTTGGTAGGTGGGAGTTATTCTAGCTTATTAGGTGGATTTTCTGCTTTACGAGTGGGAGTTTAGTATTTTTTTTAGTATTTTTGTTCGTTCACGTGTAGCATCGTAGGTATATTTCTATGTATTTAGTTTTATACTTAGTTTTTTTGTAAGATTTGTAGCCCATAGTCTTAGACTTCTGGCCTTTTATCTACAAAATTAATAAAATCGTCCTTGTGACGTCATTAGCTTCACAAAAAAAAAAAAAAATAATTACAAATTCCTAGTTGCTATGTATTCCGCTTCAGAAGCCTTCGCCGCAATTCAAACTAAGAAGTTGGAAAATGATGAAAGTTTAACTATACTATTACAACAACAAATTAAAAGCGGGAGGAACTGGAAAGACAGCTGGAATTTCTACCTAGAAGTTACAAAAAGTCCAAAAAATCAAAGAAATCAAAAAAATCAAAAAAAAAGATTTCAAAAACCCAACTCGATTCCTCGAATAATTCTGACTCAGAAGAGTTAGATTATGACGCAATACCTTTTCAACCGAATTTAGAAGCTGATGATGATGATCTAATGGATGATGATCGAGATTTGAATATAAATCGGCCGATAGATAAGTCTTCTGATGTTCAAGATCGGACGATCGCAGAATCATCTGGTACACAACCTAATGTAGATCAATCACTTTTGGATCACAATCTAAACACAGCCACACCCTTAATAGTTGATATTACACAGCCGCAACATGTAATACAACAAGAAAATATGGACGTGGATTTGACAAAGTCTTCGAAGCAAAAAAAGAAGTCGAATAAAAATTTGGTTAAAAATGTAATAACTGGACATATACCTACCGATGATGATACATCGCGAGTCAGAGACATTTTGGTGTATGACATTCCGGTATCCTGGACTCCTGAAGATATACTGAAGGAACTAACTTTAATATGGGGAAAACTATCTCTCTGTCTCTTATACACATCTAGATGTGTATAAGAGACAGAGAGACATTTTGGTGTATGACATTCCGGTATCCTGGACTCCTGAAGATATACTGAAGGAACTAACTTTATGGGGGAAAACTATTTCTTTACAAATGAAGCCACAAAGAAAATATCAAACGCTCCGTTTGAAAATAGAATTAAGTACCTTTCGGTTAGCCCAATTCGAAGTTAATGAAGATCCGGTATGGACTACGGATTTAGGAGGGATACCAGTACGATGGTTTCCAGCAAGGTGGACTCTCAAAGAAAGAAAACAACGTGAGAAGTTCCAAGCTACGATTCATAAGATACCAGATTCAATGACTCTAGCAGCCTTATGGACTGACCGTCACCC